CTTATGGAGTTGGGTTTGACACAGGCATTCTTATAAGGGTGAGCTGATTAAAGCCTGTAGTAAGAGTCTTTGTTTAATCCACAATAACAGAAATGAATTGCTTGATGGATTCCTCCTCATGTTTACATGATAAAAAGGACCTTTGTGGGTTTTTTTACTCAGAAACTAAGCACCCTTTCCATCACATCATATCACAGGGAATTCAGCCGCCCTGGGTCTTCGGAGAGGGGTGGCATATAAATTGAATGAATGAATGAATAAATAAATAAATAAATAAAACATTCTTTCACTGTTGTTTTGGTATTGCCATTTCTAATGTCAAATGTATTCTTTTCTTTTCTTTTCTTCTTTTCTTTTCTTTTGTTATTATTTTATTTCAAACATGGCCAGATTGTTTGGTGTATAGTACTGATAATTCAATGCATCCTGTCCTGCTTATTCCTAAAGTGGCATGCAGTCTTTTTTTTTACTGGAAGCCCTGAAAGTGAGTTGTGCCAGCTGCCATAATTTCCAATGGTGATAGTCACTATGGTTGGGGCATTAAAGGACATCAGATTCAAGAAGGTGACCACATAACATTGTATCCCGAAGTTCCTAAGTTTAGCCTCCCTATTCTCTTGTTAAATATATAGCATAATTGAAACAAATTAAAATTGTATCAGGAAAGATTAGATGGAGCTAGCTAGATATGCTTTGGCATAAGGCAGTGTTGGCTAACTTAAATGTTAACTAGGCCAATGTCTGCACAATTTAAGATTTTGTTTAGTTTCCATATGTTACTTGGTTAGCTGTTTTTAATGGTTGTGTTGGCTGTTTATTTGATCAACTCTTGAGATCAATAGCTGGCAAATATAGATTACAAAACAAAACCCAAAATTCCAAACTCTCAAAGTTATATCTTGTGTAGTTCAATTTGTTCTGAACTGAATATGTCTCATATTGTTGTCATTATATGTCAAACATATCCCTTTACACTCATATTCATATGTAGTCTGTTGCATAATGTTTTAATTTTTTGCCATGCTTATTCTTTTCTCCTTTAGTAAAAACATATTTTAATAAATTGTAGAGGGAAGAGAGTTGAATACATGTAGACTCTTAACTATCCACACAGCAAAATGTGATGCTAGTTTATTTGGATTTAATGCACTGCAATGCTTAATTACTTTGATAGCCTTAATTTCTGCCAACGGTGGATGTTATCCCATTTCTAGAGTAATTTAATCCATGTTCTCCCAGTCATGAAGTCTTATAAGGTGGTATGTAGGAGGCCGAGAACTCTGGAATTAAATCACTGCATGCATCAGAAACACAGTGATTACAAGGTTTCACACAGTTTTTGAATTAATTAAGGACTAAACTGGCTTTATAAACAAATGCTGTCCTTCTAAAGAACTATGGAATGCACTTATTGATAGTTGAAGTTTCTCTTTTCCTCTGTTCCCATAGTAAATATTGGGAGTCCCTGTGGATTTTACTCAGCTAGTTGTTGCTGATATAGGAGGTGGTGCTTATCTCTGTTTCAAGGACTTGGGCCAGCACTGTCCAAAGACATTTCCATGGTCATGTAGCCAGCATGACATCATGGAGCTTTGTTACCTAAAATATTACCTATTTATCTACGTGCATTTGTATGCTTTTGAACTGCTAGGTTGTCAGGAGCTAGGGCGAGGATGGGAGCTCATTCCATCATATGGAGCTCAGGTCAGCCAACAAGCCCAGCTCTCAGGCCTGGAAGCCATCTTTTGAATTGGGCCACATCAGAGGTGGTATTCAGCAGGTTCTGACCAGTTCTGGAGAACCAGTAGCGGAAATTTTGAGTAGTTCGGATAACTGGGCCTGGTGGCTCAGCAGACTGATAGCATTGTGATTAACACCAGCTGTCTGCAATTACTGTAAGTTTGAATCTCACCAGGCTCAAGGTTGACTCAGCCTTCCATCCTTTCTAAGGTAGGTAAAATGAGGACCCAGTTGTGGGGGCAATAAGCTGACTTGGTATAAATATACAAAAGTATGAAGGCTATTGCTTAACGCATTGTAAGCCGCCCTGAGTCTCCGGAGAAGGGCGGCATATAAATCAAATTTAAATAAATAAATAAATAAAATAAACTGGTAAGTACCACCTCTGACTGGCACCGCCTCCATTTATTCTCTGCCTCCCGAGTCCCAGCTAATTGGGAGGAAATGGGGATTTTACAGTATCCTTCCCCTGCCATACCCACCAAGCCATGCCCACAGAACCTATAGTAAAAATTTTTGAATTCTACCACTGGCCACATGTCCATCACATGGTCCGCAGCATCTTAACTCCTGAGCCATTACAGTGCCTCTATTCCCATAGAGGAACTACTATATTCCAATAGAAATTGGTCATGTTTTTGCTTGCTGAAATTAGTTTGCTGGGGTGGGGATGGAACGAATATGTTTCCTGAAAAACTTTACAGCAAACAAGCTACTATCAATTTCTTTATTTCTTCGGATTCCTGTTTGCTGTATTTCAAATGTGTCAGGTAGTCAATTCTGTTCTTTGAGAGATCTAGAATAAACTAGGTTAGAATAGAATAGAATAGAATTTTTTATTGGCCAAATGTGATTGGACACACAAGGAATTTGTCTTGGTGCATATGCTCTCACTGTACATAAAAGAAAAGATACTTTCATCAAGAATCATAAACATACAACACTTAATGATAGTCATAAGGTACAAATAAGCAATCAGGAAACAATATCAATATAAATTGTAAGGATACAAGCAACAAAATTACAGTCATACAGTCATAAGTGGAAGGAGATGGGTGATGGGAACGGTGAGAAGACTAATAGTAGTGCAGACTTAATAAATAGTTTGACAGTGTTGAGGGAATTATTTGTTTAGCAGAGTGATGGCATTCGGGAAAAAACCGTTCTTGTGTGTAGCTGTCCTGGTGTGCAGTGCTCTATCTATAGTGTCATTTTGAGGGTAGAAGTTGAAATAATTTATGTCCAGGATGCGAGGGGTCTGTAAATATTTTCACAGCCCTCTTTTTGACTCGTGCAGTATACAGGTCCTCAATGGAAGGCAGGTTGGTAGCAATTGTTTTTTCTGCAGTTCTAATTATCCTCTGAAGTCTGTGTCTCTCTTGTTGGGTTGCAGAACCAAATCAGACAGTTATAGAGGTGCAGATGACAGACTCAATAATTCCTCTGTAGAACTGTATCAGCAACTCCTTCGGTAATTTGAGCTTTCTGAGTTGGTGCAGAAAGAACATTCTTTGTTGTGCTTTTTTGATGACGTTTTTGATGTTAGCTGTCCATTTTAGATCTTGCGATATGGTAGAACCTAGAAAATTGAAAGTCTCTACTGTTGATACTGTGTTGTCTAGTATTGTGAGAAGTAGAAATATGGAAGGGTTTCTCCTAAAGTCTACCACCATTTCTATGGTTTTGAGTGTGTTCAGTTCCAGATTGTTCCAGTCACACCACGAGGCTAGTTGTTCAACCTCCTGTCTGTATGCGGATTCATCATTGTCTCGAATGAGACCGATCACTGTTGTGTCATCTGTGAACTTCAGTAGTTTAACAGATGGATCATTAGAGATGCAGTCATTGGTATATAGAGAGAAGAGAAGTGGGGAGAGCACACAGCCTTGTGGGGCCCCTGTGCTAATTGTACAGATATCTGATGTGATTCTGCTTAGCTTCACCTGCTGTTTCCTGTTTGTTAGAAAGCTTATGATCCACTTGCAAGTGCGTTCAGGTACCTGTAGCTGGTTTAGCTTAGTTAGACGTGTGTCTGGAATGATGGTATTGAATGCTGAACTAAAGTCTACAAAGAGGACCCTTGCATAGGTCTTTGGAGATTCAAGATGTTATAGGATGTAGTGTAGAGCCATATTAACAGCATCATCTGTTGATCTATTTGCTCAGTATGCAAATTGCAAGGGGTCTAACAGCGGATCCGTGATGGTTTTCAAGTGGGACAGCTCTAGCCTTTCAAAGGTTTTCATGACTACAGATGTTAGAGCAACTGGTCTGTAGTTGTTCAGTTCCTTGATGGTGGGCTGCTTCGGCACTGGGATGATAGTAGAGCATTTGAAGCAAGAAGGAACATAGCACATCTTTAGCAATTTATTGAAGATACGGGTGAAAATGGGGGCCAATTGGTCAGCACAGACTTTTAAGCAAGAAGGAGTTATATTCTACTGTTAAGTACTTAGTCCTACCTCAATAATTAAAGTTTGAAGTTTTGTCATTATTTGATGCATCTAAAATTCCATGAGAACTTTAGGTGATTCAATTTCTTAAATTCTAAAAGGAATAAAATAAAATAAAATTATGTTGAAAAATTTTAATTCTGTATGAGCTGACAGAGATTGGTTCAGGATTTTACATTTCTTTTCACCCCCCATGTCTCAAAATAACATTGAATCAGAGACATTTCTGCTTTTTGGAAAACAAAGAAAAGAAAGAGGTTTATCATCTTTTTCAAAATTAAACTCTACTACATTTTCAGATGGTTGGTTTGGATCACATAAATTAGAAGTGACTTATTGCTGCTAAGTGAATGTAATGGGAGAAGGCATCTTCCAGAGTTTATATGTGATTTTTTTTTCTCCCCCTGGGCACCCCACTTGAAAACTGATAAGACTGCACATGTGCTTGAGGTCTGGAATGTCTATTGCCTAAAATGACAGGTTGGCAATTAGTAAGTAACTTATATCTCTCTGTTTTCCAGCATACCTGACATAGAAATTCTGCCATGAGACATGCTGAACTTGGGTTCAAGTAGAAGGACCTTCTTGTAAAAGTTCCTTTCCCTTCTCTTTAAATGTCAAAATATAGGTGAACATTATTAAGTTTCTCACTCATTTTTGCCATGGATTTTAATTTGGTTTGGAGAAGAATTTCCAGATTTTTCTACTTCTGTTCCCACCAGAGCTCCTATCCCTCATTCACTTACTCATAGGAGAAATTATAAGAATAATTTTGAAATGTGATGATATTTCTGCATCTTGTTACAGGAAAACTGTTCCATATGGGTTGGCTAATTACAGGGGAAATTTCCGGGTCAAAAGGTCCACAGAGCAGCTCCACAAGAACTTGCATTCAGCAGAAAGATCTCCATTACGCTGCTCTTGCACAGATCAACGTGACAAGTTGTGCATGCAGTTTTGCACATGGAGTGTCCAATGGTAAGATACCTTGATATTTCAAAGAAATAACACATGGCTTAGAAGAATGAAAAGAGATTTCTACCTCTTGCCCCTTAATATTAGAAACCTGATTTATTCAAGGAAAGTAATTAAGAAACAAATGAATGTTTTCAAATACTACATTAGAGATTGAGGCTTTTTATTTCATCATTTTTGTATATTGAGAGAGATATCACAGTGACAAACACAACTAGATAATTTAAAAGAAGTTATTAAAATTCATTTTTATTTATTAAACAGCTTTATGTAGCCACTCAACTCACACTGACTCCACTGTGGCAAAAATGCCACCCAAATATGTGTAAGCGCATCTGTTAAAAACTGGAAAACATGGCAAGGTATATACCCTTTCCAGATCCAGTTACATCAGAAATATCTTTCTGATGCAGAAATTATTCAGAATTATTCTGTTGCAATGTTCATCTGAATACAGTACCTTCCCATCTATTTAAGATGGGAAAGCACTAGTTGTGCTGGAGGAACACAGATGATTGGCACAACTTGTGTGATGATGAAAATTCCCATACATGCTACCCTACAGCATAGCATCATGGAAGGCGCTCCCACATGGATGAATGCCCACTTAAGAAGGGCTTAGGTGGATTTTAAATGCTGTGAAAGATTTGTAGACAATTGTCTATTGGTGTGTGTGGTTTCTTTGGAAGCTGAAGTTGGAAGACTCAGTTTAAATAATGACATTGATTTAATTTGAAAATGCAATACAACAGAAACATGTATATTCCTGCATAAAAGTCCACTGACTTTTCAAATTGATTGGAAGAGATAGATCAATTGTCTGAAAGGCTGCTTCAAGCATATCAAAGTTTTGAGTCAAAGTTTCACCCATCCTAATGCTTATTGCCTTTGAGAGTTATTTGGAACCTTTTTTTGTTGAGAAGATACTGAGTATTAGTAAAGTTGAAGGTATAGTATGAGCTTTTCAAAACATATGGCTGGTATTATTGAAAGTGGAGAGAGGAAGTAGCTCGTCTTGATCTGATTTAATGTAGAAACACTGATATTCTTAAAGGTTTTGTCATTAGTGAAAGTTTTGGTATTGTTGGATAGCTCTGATCAATTTAACCCATGTAGATTCTACTTTATCTTCCAGTTTGGCTCTTTTCTTTTTTTGAAAACTTGTTTTTAAGAGCAACAAACAGATTGTTAAACTTATTTAGGTTTGTATACAAAATTGTTGGAACTTTGAGGTTTTTGTTTCTATTACAAGTTGCCCTGAGCAGTGTATATTAAAAAGGTTGAATATCCATGTTTCAGCTAAGACCAGGCAAGTCTAGCAGATTATCATAGCTAATTTATTGAATATAGAAAAATTAAAAGAACATAGTAATATATCTGATGTAGTACAATGAAAAGAATATCCCATTGGCTTCGTTGATTCAATAAGAATGGGTGATAAGCATTGTTCAGTATGAAATACATTTGGTTCAATTTCTGGCTCAGACCATTTCCCTTTGTTCAACAGCAAATGATCAGGTGGGAAAAGGAAGAAAGAGAAGGAGAGAGCGGGAAAATGAGAAAATGGGCTGGTGGTAAGAAAGAGATGGAGGGCAAGAAGAGAGAAAATGTTCTCTATCCTTTGGTTAGACAACATTTGCTTAATCCAGCACCCTTGAAAAAAAGAACACTTAAGACAGCAGCTGGGTTTCAATCTTCTCTTTGGAATTGGCCAGATTTGATTCATTTATTTTTCTGCATCCCTTCTTACATTTATCTCACCTTTCAAGACATTTTCTACATAAGCTACAGTATCTTCCAATAGTGAATAAAAGCATATATTTAAAAAAAAAAACCTTCTCCTCCCCAGCAGTCATCTGAAGCCAATGAATCACCCAGCAGGAAGACCTCTCCTTCAAGAAGAAAAGCGTGTTCTTACCCAGTAACTTGGAAAAATTCCACTGGTTTGAACTGGAGAGGTATGATCTGTGTTAATTATGAGAACATGTGGTAGTGTGAGGAATCATGAGATGAAATTATGAATCATGGTTTAATGATATATCTTTTTGTTGCTTTAAGGGTTACTTTCTGAGTCTTCGGAAAGGGGCAGCATATATATTGAATTAAATTGAAATTGAAATTGAAATTTCAGAAAGATGCTTTGCTCCCTTTCTGAAGTACCCTTCTGAGAGATTTGTTCAACTCTGCGATAGTATTTGTTCATCCCTACATCCAGCCAACATTGTAAACTAAAAAAGCAGTGTCCCAATTTTGAGGAATAAAATGACTGCTATCTTGTGCATAGGTATCTGGGAGTAAGCTGTACTGTGGGATTTTTTTTCTGAGCACTAACATGATACAGGAACCTCCTTGGAGAACTCTGAACTATCTTTCAAGATCTTAAAGGATTTTGAGATTTTTTTCTTTAAAAGAGGACCTAGGAGGGAACAAGAGAACAAAAAGATTACCCTTTGTGGAAGGCTCTATAATCTCATTCTCTTGTTATGTTCTGCTTTACTTTTGAGAATCAATGTATGAATGTTTTAAAGGAGGCAGTAGAATATCTTCTGTTGGGTATGAATATGTATCCTTGTACTGATTTTTTAAAAACTTAATCTCATACATTTGATTCTTGCAGGAACATCCCTAATATCCATAATATTCTAAAGTTTTGTGCTTAATAATAAATAATCTCAAGACAGTTTCCTACAGTACTACACAACAGTACTACACAACATTTCTTTCAGTTGTAGGACATGGCCAAAGGAAAAATGGAATGGATTTATATCAGAAATTTTTTCTGCTGCTGCCCTATAAGACTTCTGAGAATCCAAATGGAGAAGTTCATATTGATCTCTAGGGCAGGATTGTACAACAGTGTTCATTCTGAGAATGTACTCAGTTATTGACTAATGGGTTGGATCTGCACTCCAGGAAGTGAATGAGTCAGGAAAAAAATGGGTAGAACCAGGTCTAAAAACATAATTGTAATTAAGAGAAAACAAAATGAATTAAATACAGTTAAGCTGATGCTGTCCTATGCATTTCATCATTTACTAAAGTATTTACATTCAATATTTTAAATTACTCTTCAGTAATAGAAATCACAGTTCAGTTGCAGCATTTGGAAGGGTTCCAGGAGTACCCTTTAGACCTCTAGCGGCTTTTAAAGTTTTAGGCTCTATACCTCTTCTCTAGGAGGTAGAAATTCTCTTCACACCAGACATGACACTTTTGTAAAGCAGGGGTAGTTGGGAAAAAAAGCAATGAAAATTTAAAATGGATTTTTTTCAAGTGCTATTTTGATGTTTTAGATTTGTGAGTTGACCCAATTACCCCTTTCCCCAGTCTCAAATAATGTCATTAACACACAAACAAACACAGACACATGTTCCATGCTCTATTGTCTTACCTAAGCATCTGGACAATGGCAGTCTCAAGCGGGATCCTCATCTCACAAACAATGAATTACATATTGCATCATTACTACCAAGATATACCCAAATCACTTTCTTGGGGGCAATTACTCCCAGTTTAAGAGCTTAGAGCAATATTTCTGAACTTTGGCAACTCAAAGATATGTTGACTTCAACTTCAGAAGCCATTCAGAAGATTTCAGAAGAAGAATTCTGGGAGTTGAAGTCAATATCTCTTCAAGTTGTTAAAGTTGAGAAACAGTTGACCTAGTCTGCATAGTAATCACACTGTGTCTCAGGATCTGTTTATTATTTTTCAAGACACCTTTGGCCTTGATAATTGTCATGCTTTTGTAATGTGGAATATGCTCAACAAATATATGTCCAAATGAGGCTGTCTTTTTCCTTAACTATTGATAGACAAATGTGTTTTCTTCCCAAGGTAAGACATTGAGAACACTATCTAAGATATGGAAGAAAAAAACCTCCTCACAAAAATCAACATTGTGCCCAGATATTCAGATGGATTTTCCAACAGTATATATTTCCTTTTCTTGAATAGTGGTTTTTTTCAAAGTGAGGACTTCATGTGCTTGAAAAACATTGCACTGATATCATCTCTAACATGGTTACAGTTCCATGGGGAAAGATGACAATGATGAATGATAATGATGTTTTGCCATGTTAAGATTCAGAGGACAGCTCCTGCCATTATATCAAAAATGCTGATGTATAACAAGGAAAAATACCACTTTCACTTGCTTGTTGTATATGTGTATACAAGTGCCTTATTTCCTGCAGACTGATGCCATGAAAGAAATTGGTACAGTTTAGAAGAATACCTATATATGATGTCATCTCTTGTATGTTTAAAAAAAGCCCCTTTTCCTAATCTTAAACCTGTCCTTTTATAATTTGAGTGGCATTTTAAAAAAATGACAGTATCTATGCAGATGAAATAAGAATGGCTATTAATATTATAATATATAGCAAGCTAACAGAATTGCATTTTTGTTAGATTATTGGATTCAAGAACTGATCCCTGCAATAAAGTTGAATTTTAAAACAAATATACAAGATAAATTTTGAGATAAGGATTCATATACTACAATTATCTAACCAAGGCTACAGCGCTCCAAAACCCTTTATTTGGTCTAAATTCTGAAAGATTAAAAATACATTTTGCTAATGACAATCAGGGATGTAATCCTTAATTTTAATTTCTAGAAGGGTTGAGTAAATAGTTATTTGGAGTTCTGGCATTATTCCTTGAAGTTATGATACTTCAACAAGCTGAAGAAAGGGCGCAGAATAGACCCTGTGACTGGAATTGATTGCATGTTGATTTAAAGAAGATGTCAGGAGAATATTGATTTGGCATTTTTATTCAAAGAGGAAAAAGGAGTGCACTGTTAACAGTTGGAACCAGGGGTGAAATTCAGCAGGTTCTGACAGGTTCTGGAGAACCGGTAGTGGAAATTTTGAGTAGTTCAGAGAACCGGTAGCGGAAATTTTGAGTAGTTAGTAGAACTGGCAAATACCACCTCTGGCTGGCCCCAGAGTGGGGTGGGAATGGAGATTTTGCAATATCCTTCCCCCAGGAGTGGGGAGGGACTGGGTATTTTTCAGTATCCTTCCCCTGGAGTGGGGTGGGAATTTTTGCGGTATCCTTCCCCTGCCATGCCCACCAAGCCACGCCCACCAAGCCACACCACGTCCACAGAACCAGTAGTAAAAAAAATTTGGATTTCACCACTGGTTGGAACCCTTTTGAAGGGCACTTGATTAAAACTGGGATTTCCCCACATATATAGTGCTATAGTTTATTAGAAGACAACTATTACAACTTTGAGCTGAATGCATTAACTCTTGGACCTACTGCAGAACAAAAAAGCCAAGAAAACCAAACTGGCTGCAAACTCCCAAACTGGCTGCATAATATTTGCAAAGTGATACTGGACTTTTTGTTTTGTTTTGCAAAAGAAGAAGAGATCTTGTATTAAATATATATATATATATATATTATATAAATGTGTATATGAGTATATTACATAAATAAATTATTCTAATTACAAAAGTAAGATATTTTTATTATGTCATATTTCAATTAGTTTTCTATTTTTTGCCATACTTTTGTAGTTTCCAGTTGGAATTATGTATTATTAATTGTACTGAAATATATCCCCTTGAGTATTGTGCATTTCTTTAAATAAGGTGATTCTGAACACATATTACAAACTGCTGTTCGCTTTTCAAACTTGTATAACTCATTTATGTGATATGGATATATGACAAAGCTGACTTTCTCATCTAAAACAAAGTTATAGTCCGTCTGAGATTTCACTTAAATTCTTTTCATTCCCCTAATTTTGAGAAACTGTTTACATTTCTCCTATGTATGTTATTATTGCAGTTGAGCGCAAAACCCTGGAAACCTCACAGGAATTATGAACAGTTCCTGAATTGGAAGGGTAGAACATGGTACCAACCAGTGACTTAAGCCCCTGCCTTCTCTGAAGAAGGGTATCTGGAAGCTAAAGCCTGGGATGATCGATTGAGGGAACTAGGTATGTGTAGTCTAATAAAGAGAAGGACTAGGGGTGATATGATAGCAGTGTTCCAATACTTGTGGGGCTGTCACAGAAAAGAGGGGGGGGGTGTCAACCTATTCTCCAAAGTCCAGATGCAAGACAAGAATTAATGAGGGGGGGATGTTAATTAAAAAAGAGATCCAAAACTAGAAATAAGGATAAATTTCTTGACATTGAGAATGATTAATCAGTGGATTGGCTTATCTCTGGAAACTGTGGGTGCTCCATCACTGGAGGCTTTCAAGAAGAAACTGGACAGCCATTTGTCTGGAATGGTATAGGGTTTCCTGCCTGAGCAAGCGGTTGGACTCTAGATCAATCCCCTGCTCAAAGCCTCCAAGGACCCTTCCAATCCTTCTGTGTTCTATGTTCTAAAAACCATCAAGGTGTGATTGAATGAAAAGCCATCACAATTCCAACCTTCTGCACAGTGTGAAAGACCAGGGCTTGAAAGCTGGTGAAATGCTGTTTCCAATCATGGGGTGAGACCCAGGAAACAGGAATTGTTGTCATGGGAAAATGAACAACCCTAAGTATAAAATCAGAAGAGTAGTGATTTATGGTGTATGGCAGCTCAGTTGGGAAGACAAATGATCCAGCTGCTGACAAAGTCAACAGAATGGAATCACAGAAGTATGGAGCAAGTTAAAGAAGTGCTGAAATTCTGCCTTTGGGGCTGACTTGTTTCAGGAAAAAAACAATGTGTCTCTTGGGTGAATGTCACACATATTTAAAATTTAAATACTATCCTCTACACACATTCTTGAAAAAAAGGAAATATGTTTTTTAATGTCTGCTGCTATAATCTAATGCTTCATGGCAGGTATATTTTATTTCACAGGCCTCGGTACTAGATCAGAAGTGAACAGGAGGCTTCCTGTTTGATCTCACTTTTAATGTTTTTAAAATATTGTTTAAATGAAAAGGAATTTGAATTTGGTTCCTGCTTTTGTCTGAATCAAACATGCATTTTTGAAGGATACAATAAAGTTTTGCTATATTACATTTCTGTATAAATAACATTTGCTATGCTTTAGTATAAATAGCATGTGCTCTGTGTTAGTATAAATCACAGTCTTCAGAAAGACTTTTAAGAATGAATTAGCTCCAGTTCTGTTATTCTCATCAAACTATTTATTAAATAAAAGGAAACCAAAATGACTCTTTTTATATCATTTTATATTTTTTCTTGCTTGGATAGCCATAAAACAAGGAAATTTTTTTTTACAGTGGAAAGAATTCTTAATGCAGGTATGAATATGTTGATTTTAATTTTTAATGATATAAATCCCTTTCAATATGTTAATTTAAGCTCTATTTGTCCAGATAATAGAGCTGGTGACCTTCATGCAATAAGTCAGTTTAGAACTTTTAGTTTCCATCAGTTGGACAAGATACATCATTTTATGCTTCGGCTTGATGAGATATCTCAAATGCCATGAATGCAGAATATATAGAACTAACTTTTTTAATATAACCAAAGGACAGTAAGCATTTTGCGGTATAAAGAAATCATTTTTTGTGTTGTAGCACTCTTTCCTTTAAACAGTGCTAGATGTTCAAGAAGAATTGCATATTATGTAGCGTTCTTAATGTTCTCAAGAGTTTCTCTTCCTGCAGATATTTCATTAGCAGGCTAAGTGGTAATTAGTACAGTAGGGAGTGGAGTTTGCTGCCTGTTTATATATAGCAGCTTGCCCTACCTTTGTTGATTGGATCATTGTTTTTTTTCTTTGCTTGCTTTTGGGGGAGCTGTTGATTGTTTCATTTTACCACCACCCCCTATCTCCTCACCGTATGAGCCAAAGTGGGTATTTGCAGTCCACCCCATCCTTCAGTAAACATATGCACCTAAACACAGATGCAACATGAAGAGCAGAAACACATAGACAGAATACATTTGTAACAGAGTTGCTTTCAGAGTGAGATGGATGGTATATAAATTAAAATGAATAAAGTAAATAAATAAATTGGAATTTAATTTTAATTTAATTTAATTTCGAATTTATATACCGCCCTTCTCCCTGAGGACTCAGGGCGGTGTACAGCCAAGATAAAAACATAGAATACAAATATTAAAACATTTAAAAATATATATAAAATTTGCCCAAAAAATTAAAAATCGCAGACTAATTAAAAGGATTTAAAAATTTTAAAATTTCTTCTTAAGCCAACCCGGCTTGCTGAAAAAGATAGGTTTTCAGGGAACGACGGAAGGCATTGAGGTCCTGGATTCTTCTTATCTCCGGGGGGCAACTGATTCCAGAGGGTGGGAGCCCCCACAGAGAAAGCCCTCCCCCTGGGGGCCACCAGCCTACATTGTTTGGCTGATGGCACCCTGAGGAGGCCCTCTCTGTGGGAGCGCACGGGTCGATGGGAGGTCATTGGTAGCAGCAGGCGGTCTCGGAGATAGCTAGGCCCTATGCCATGGAGCGCTTTAAAGGTGATAACCAACACCTTGAAGCGCACCCGGAAGACCACCGGGAGCCAGTGCAGCTCGCGAAGGAGTGGTGTTACATGGGAGCGCCATGTTGCTCCCATCACTACCCGCGCTGCTGCATTCTGGACCAGCTGGAGCCTCCGGGTGCTCTTCAAGGGGAGCCCCATGTAGAGAGCGTTACAGTAGTCAAGGCGAGAGGTGACGAGGGCATGAGTGACTGTGCACAGGGAATCCCGATCAAGAAAGGGCCGCAACTGGCGAATCAGGCGAACCTGATAAAAGGTCCCCCTGGTAACAGCCGTCAGATGTTCCTCCAAAGACAGCTGCCTATCCAGGAGGATTCCCAGATTGCGAGCCCTTTCAGTGGGGGCCAAAGACTCGCCCCCAATAGTCAGTGATGGAGTCAACTGACTATATCGGGATGCCGGGAGCCACAGCCACTCAGTCTTGGAAGGGTTGAGCCTGAGCCTGTTCCTCCCCATCCAGATCCGCACAGCCTCCAGGCACTGGGACATCACTTCAAGGGCATCGTTGGGGTGGCCTGGGGTGGAGATGTACAGCTGGGTGTCATCAGCGTACTGGTGGTATCTCACCCCAAAGCCACGGATGATCTCGCCCAGCGGCTTCACATAAATGTTGAACAGAAGGGGCGAGAGGACCGATCCCTGCGGCACTCCACAAATGAGAGGCCTCGAGGTCGACCTCTGCCCCCCTGCCAACACAAACTGCGACCGGTCGGAGAGAAAGGAGGAGAACCACCGTAACACGGTGCCTCCCACCCCCAACTCTTCCAGCCGGTGCAGCATGATACCATGGTCGATGGTATCAAAAGCCGCTGAGAGATCTAATAGGACCAGAACAGAGGAATAACCCCTGTCCCGAGCCCTCCAGAGATCATCAACCAGCGCAACCAATGCCGTTTCCGTGCTGTGCCCAGACCTGAAACCTGACTGGAACGGATCCAGATAGGATGTTTCCTCCAGGAATTGTGGAAACTGTTGCGCGACCACACTCTCAACAACCTTCGCAATGAAGCGAAGGTTGGAGACAGGACGATAGTTAGCCAATATTGCTGGGTCCAGGGACGGCTTCTTGAGGAGAGGCCTCACCACCGCCTCTTTCAGGGCAGCGGGGAAGTGACCCTCACTCAAGGAAGCATTAATAACGCCCTGGAGCCAGCCTCGTGTAACCTCCCGGGAAGCCAGTACCAACCAGGAGGGACACGGGTCCAGTAAACATGTGGCCGCACTAAGTCTCCCCAAAATCCTGTCCACATCATCAGGAGTCACAGCATCAAACTCCTCCCAGATAACATTCTCAAGACTGTTCCTCGTCACCCTGCCCTGATCTACCCAGTCAGAGTCCAAATCCCCCCGGATCTGAGCAATTTTGTCATACAGGTATTGTCCGAAATCCTCCGCCCTGCCTTCTAAGGGATCCTCCCGCACTCCCAGATGGAGCAGGGCGCGGGTCACCCTAAACAGGGCGGCCGGACGATTCCCTGATGACGCAATAGAGGCGGAAAAGTAGTTAGACTTTGCCGTCTTTATCGCCACTAGGTAGGCCTTAATATGCGACCTTACCAGTGTTCGATCAGATTCAGCGAGACTGGCCCTCCAACCGCTCTCCAGGCGTCTTTTCCGGCGCTTCATTTCCCTCAGCTCCTCAGTAAACCAAGAGCCACCCGGGATCGGCATCGGGTCAGAGGCCGCAAAGGCACAACTCGGTCCAAGGCCCCACCAGCCGCCCGATCCCAGGCGGCTACCAGGTCCTCGGCCGAGTCATGTGCTAGATCCTCAGGAAATGGCCCAAGCTCCGTCTGGAACCTATCAGGATCCATCAGGCGCCTGGGGCAGATCCATCTAATTGAGTCCGCCTCCCTGCGGCGAGGGGTCGCGGTTCGAAGATCTAGGCGAAGGAGTGAGTGGTCAGTCCATGACAAGGGTTCCATGTCTATATCCCCTATAACAAGACCACTCAACCACTGGCCAGAGACAAAAATCAGATCCAGAGTGTGACCTCCCCTGTGAGTAGGGCCATGAACTAACTGGGTCAGGTCCATGGCCGTCATGGAAGCCATGAACTCCCGAGCCACCTCAGACGTTTCACCGACAGATGGCAAGTTGAAATCACCCATGACTAAAAGCCTGGGTGTATCTACTGCCACCGTGGCTATCACGTCGAGTAGCTCAGGAAGGGCTGTTGCCACGCGGCAGGGAGCCAGGTACGTAAGCAACAAGCCCATCTGAACCCCACGGCCCCACCTCACAAGGAGGGACTCACATCCGGCTATCTGAATGAATTCTGGAAGCCACAGAATAGCAGCATTTCCCTACATTCTTACTCTAGGAAATGACATAAAGGGGGCTTTTCTATGTGCTTGTCAGCAAACAGAAATCTTAATAAAGTGGGAACAAATCAACTGTTGGAAAAAAGACTGCCCCTTTCCCTGAAAAATAGGGTAACTGGGATAGCATATGAAACAAAATGCTCCAATGTATTCTGGGAGAAACATTTTGGTTACAATTCACAATGTTGCCTACACTTCCATTGTAAGCCTCCCTCCCTCTTTGCTGTATGAGCAAGAGCAGAAATAATGTTTAAAGGACTAAAAGAATTCCAAATTTCCCTGTTATTTAAATCAGTAGTGCTCACAAAGTGAACATTCAAATGGGAACACAGTGGCTCTTGATTTTGGATGCAGGGAAGCAGAAAATATTCATTTGAAAATGGATTATATTGACTTGAACAAGCTAATCTAATTTCTTTTTAACCTTTTTAAAGAAAGGTTTCCAGGAAGGAGATCCAGGCATGACCCCAAACTGCAATCTCTTACATGAGGGATTTTTTAAGATGGGATTGACTTGAGTACGTTTAAAATATTTGTAATGTAGCTCTGAATATAGCCTTGAAAACATGCTGCCTAATAAACTAAGAGAAGAAAGCTGATGCACACATCATTCACAACAAAAGGAATTATTCACCACCCACAAGGATTTAAGGCTTTTGAATGCATTTGTTGGAAGCTGCTAGGACAGCGGTAGGAGCACAAGGAACAAGATGGATTTCTGAAAGAAAATAAGTGACATACTTCTAATCTCTGTATGGAAAGGTTTATAATATAGCAAAGTCTTCCAGATTAAATGGTTTACAATATATCAGGCAAGCTAAACAAAGACCATCTAAATTCTCTGTTTATGTTATCTTGGTATTTGGCTGAGCTGTATTTCGAAGAAAGCACTTCCTTTCCTAATACTTTTTACTTGCTTGATGTATGTACTGTGCATACAAGAGGGTTTGCCAGGAGGTAGGGGTTCATATCTAAAGCTTTTTGAGTCATAGCCTTGATTCAGACCTCTGGGAAATTCCCTTTGAAATGTTTAAAATAGCAGCTAAAGCTTCAGATTCTTGCATGGTTTGGGTCACCAGGAAAGAAATACTGTAAAATAATAATAAAAAAACCCTAAGAATAGGTATTAACAGTGGGCACCGTGGTTTATATAAAGCTCCTGTTTTCCCCCAAAATTGCCTTCTCTTAATTGTAGTAATACTAATTTACGAAGGTTCTGAACAGAGCTGGCTCTACTGTTAAGCACAGTGTAGCTATTTCTTCTGATGACATTATTAAATTGTCCCTTTGATGCTGATTTTTTTAAAGTCTCAAATAGTTGCCAAATAGGAATTAGGAAAATAAAACTGGAATACTTGCCAAATACACAAT